ATGTTTCGACGACTTCTGGCCTCCAAGTCGATAGCTCTGTACTCGACATACGAGAGTCTATAGTCATAATCATTCAAATCAGTTTTCACTGCCTGAATGTCTCTGGTAGCCTTGTTGAACTTCTTACTGACCTTGTCCAGTGTGCTTTTCATGGTATCCAACTGCATCATAATTCCTAGTTTGTCGTCAACATTGGCATCATCAAAATTCTGCATATCTGCCTCAGTAAAATGTACACTGTCACCACCTGTGGTTCTCCTTGACCGCTTACGCGACTGTGTGATAAAGCCATCCGAGTCACTACGTACGCCATCTTGTCCCACACTGTCCCCAAACGAATTAGCGCGTGCATTGACTTTACCGGTCAAGGTGTTTTTTCCCCGTCCCGACGAATTTTGACCACCAAAATGACCAGCCCTTCCTCCACGACCACGTCTACCCGGCATTGTCCACTTAATAGCTGTTAACGTTAGCAAAAACTTGAAATTAAACAAAAAGGTACTCAGCTGTGTTCAAGCCCAACTGTTCCACCTGAGCCTCGTTCTCGACATATCAAACGAATATATAATGTTAGACATACAGAGGTTCCCAACAAGTGCTTGGTGGTTATCATATTTATCTTACTCCAATTAGTTAACAGCAACTTTGGTACAAACACACGAGGATTACGAGTGTCTGTCACAATATGAAAATTAAAATAATGATTGTTAAATAAACATGATAGGCAGCCATCACGAGTTTAGGGGAAATGTTTGTTTCCCTTTGAAATGAAATGATTTTTGGTTTCCGATCGGGGTAACAATTGACATGTATCATGACGCAGTAGTGGAAGTAAATTGCGCAAATCATTCTTACGTGACGTCATAATTAAATGGTTGACAGATAAAATCATGTCCAGAAGTGGGTAACCAAAAACGTTTCCTAATCGCAGACGGTTTATCCAATAAGTCGGGACTGGGGCACACTATAACGGCTGTCGGAGGAAGTACGTTCTATACGAGTGTCGTCTCCACATTTATGCCGTCTATTCAACGATTGAAGCATGTTTTGAAATGCTAAGGATCACAAATATTTCAGAATCAAAAACGACAAGCCATGAAACATGGTTGTTGCTTTTTTAAAAACGATTTCAATCGTACAATACTATACACGATGTGTAGTTAAGTTTGGAAGTGATAACAACACTGGGGTAAAGAACTTGAACAAAAGACGGATCAAAGATTATTTCCACAAAACAGCAAATCTATATACTGATCTCATTGTCATGATAAAATAACACACTCTACTCAAACAATCTCATAAACAACGTAATGATATAAAGTATATACCTTACAATAATGCATCGATACTAAATGGAAGCATTTTTTTCTGTTTATCGTTAGATTGCATTGTAGTTTTACAACACAAAATGAATTGATCCTAAGCCGCACGTTCACAGAAATTGTAATAAACAATTACTTACTTCTGTTACAAGACTCACTCCTTCAACTTCGAAAGCTGTGGATTGGGCATCATTGTATAATGTCTGTTAATAAAATTGTGAAAGCATTAAATTGCAATTACATTGTCTATATGTAAAATGTATATATTTATATTTCAGAATAGGTTCATGATCCCTCCATATTGACAGCACAGCAAGCTGCCTCACAGAATCAGTGTTTCTGGAGTTTTCGACGCTCGGCGTGTCACTTGACAAAACGATGACAGATGTAGTGGAAATGAACCGAACCAGAACTACATCCTCAACCAACACTATTAAGTCAAACAATACTATCCAGAGTCACGTGATAAACGTTAGTTTATTCTATAAGTCTAAAATTAAACACAGAAAAAGCTAGTACTTGTACTCGTATAGTCCAGTACACGTGTACGATTTCAAACACCGAGTATAATATACAAACATTCACGTAAGGTTGACCATACCATGTTACAACATCAATTTATTTACCTCAAAACAGTCAATACATTGTAGTTGATATATTCATTATAAGCTAGATAAAGCGGTAAAATTAAGCGTTTCTAGTGACATGTCGTCAACATAAGACCATGGAAGAAATGTTATATCGATAACCAATTAAAACAAATAAGTCTATAAAGAAATCACAACGAGTTGCCTGTTACGAAAACTATGAAGATTCGTACCTGTATATCGGGAAATCCAACCTTGTCTGTAAATGTTTTTACAGTAGAGCTGAAAATGTTTCCGTTTATTAGAGCAGAGTGTGTTATCGGGCTTGAACTTGTTATGAGCAGTATTATCACAAGCCCTCCACTTATAGGGCGTTGTCCTCTCCCCATTACTGCTGAACGTCTTTATTTGAATGTGTGTTCCTAAAACAAAACAAAAACAAAATAATCAAATGTAGGATATAAACATATTTGTTTTTATAGATTATATCATTAACACTTTATACCAACACAGAAGAGCCAAGCAATTTGTTAAGGATACTGGGTAGACAATTGGTGGATTTACCATCCACGCCTTGTGATACTTTGTAATGACTTCATGAATCATGTATATGCGTGTGTTACCACTGACACTGGCTTAAAAAAACTTTGTGACGACATAGGTTGCTATACATCTCACGTGAGAGGAGGCAGTTTATTTTGATCAGCTCATTTCTTGGCTAACAATATTTTAATTAGTTAAAACTTGCACCCCAAACCCATCCCCCGTACATGTCTAAGGATTGTATCATCTGTCTGCGATATCAACATTCCTACTCACCTGTATAGTCAGTGACAGTTCAAAACAGCAAAACAAAGCACAGGTGTAGTCCTCTACATATATACGTAAACCATAACACGGTCGGTTGCACATAATCGAGTTTTCCCTATACAGTGTCGCATTAATAATGTCGAAATATTCCACTAAAAAATAGTTACACATAGGATTGTGAAATAAACAAGATCCGTGAGGTAAATTTCCATTATCACCTGGAAATCAATAGTCGTTTTAATATTTCAACGTCACATATATAATCAGCAACGGATACATACGGTCTACATATTATGATCTTACAAGTATAGCTATAGTCAGAATTAGATAAAGCATACGTGACAGATTTTGTTTTCTAGCATTGTCTTTGATTGACGTAAGGCAGCGGTTATAGTGTGTATCAACGCCGGGTACCGGTAGACTAGCTGGAGAGAAGCGAGGGGAGGAATTCGTAAAAATGTAATTAGAGTGTCTGTGTGATCACTGTCGTGTATGTTTACACACATAGACTGAAGATAAAATACTTTTACATAGAAAACCAGAAAGGTACAAGATTATTCCAGGTATAAAAACTGTAAATCAATTAATTTGCATTCCCAAATTTTTGTAGTCCAAATTGATTGTAAATTTGTGCATGTTACCTTTGTCAAAACCATGTGTTATGTTCGATGACATAAACCATATGTTATGTTCGATGACATAAACCATGTTACGAAAAAAACATCCAAAGTCCTTGTGATGTTTAAATATAAAAGAAATGACATAAGAGTTCCTTAGTACTTCTCTAGTATTTCACCTCTTTAGAGGTTGCTTATTTAAGTTGCCAAGACAACAAAACAACATAAATATATGTTAAAGTTGTGTTCTTGTCCTGTCGACAAAAACAAATATTTCCCCTGGTGAGCCTATATAGAGGTGATTGTAATTGGAGGTACTTGCCCTGAAAATTGGACAAATTCCTTTGTCTGCACTGTCGTTATTACTTCTTTGACCATGTATCTATTTAAGTAATACGCATCCAACCAACATTTATTAGTTCGGTCCGTCCATTTGTTGCATTGCCTATACTTCATTTCACAATTGCTTTTACCCATAATTTTAATGAACATAAATAATCGCCAACGAAAGTGACAAATTTCAAAATTATCCCTTTCATTAATAGAAGTCTGTTTCTGATTCAAACGCGATTTCATCACTAAAACTCCGTGTCCAGTGTCCTGAAGAGGTTAAATATCAGTGTTTCTTTTATCCAACAAGTTTCCATTCCATTCCATTGTGTTAGTGTTATAAACAACACGATAGCAATATAAACTATGCAGTTTGTCTCATTGATGCAGTTATAGAGCTGTCATTTATATTATAAATGGTTGTTTATCTGACAAAGGTAACGTGCAGTTTGCCCAGTAATGTATCGGGAATTACAGATTTTTTCCGAAATCTTCCGGTGGCGTTTTTTCTTGTAGTTTTGATGACCTGTACAACAAGATGTTATCTTTAGACTCTGTAGACATAAGATCGTGATCCACACAGCAACTGCTCTTCTGCGAATAGCTGCACTCATCCTTCTCCAGTCAGATACACTGACTTGGTACATGTTGTCTACCTCAGTACCGCAGTATGCGGGCTTACTGTTATACTATTTAGTGTTTTAGTGGTCACAGTAATTATCTAAATTATTATGAGGAATGAAAATAATTATAATTATGAGATGAGTTTGTTTAATGAAGTGCATACACGTCTCTGTACATATGCCTATGGGACTTGGCATAATACACACTTGTACTGTTGGTGTCTGTTCAGGTGTAGATAATAAAGCAGATTAAATATCACCTTGTGGGGATAGCAGGGTTTCGTTTGCTTACGTTTGAGTGATTTAGGTTTGAAGCATACTAAATATAATCATATGTAAAGGTAGATTGTGGTTTGTTTACTATACATAGACGCCTATACATGTATTCCCTTCCCTCTACGATGTGTAATAGTGACCGCGATCTTACAACGATCTTAGTATAGGCGTTGTACCACCATCACATACTTGTACAAAAGTATGTATGTTATTGTATTCACGTAACGAATTGCCCATCTTTTATTTTATTTACAAGGCTATATCATGGACACCAATGGATTGTTATATCATGAATCAATGATGAATAGATACTATGTATATAATATCTTCGATGGCAAACTGTCACACAGGTAAACTTTAACATTACTGTGATAGCGTTCCGGTCCCTGCTTTCTAGAAAATCTCTCCTTCAAAAGGTGATGTCACCTGATCACTGATTGGTTGTATCAGAGACGCATATATTACATATACGTCTCTGGTTGTATACGACATATCTAGAACAGGATACAAATGTATTTCATCAAAAGTCAGAAGTAGTACATGTACCTTGCAAACTTTAGATTTAAACAACGATATACATAATAAATTGGTATTGGGGAAGGAATCTATTGTTAAACTTGAAAGCGATATTTTTTCTGTCAGCGTTTTATTAATTTGTTATGACTAGCACGAAAACAGGCGTTTTTTGGACTTTTACACATTGTCGTGATAATTACGAGTCGAAGTTGCATTTTTTGTCATTTGATTTAACTCGCAGGTGGTACAGCAGCAGTATACAAAATGCGGAAATGCATATGAATTAAAATATTTCAACTTTGACGACGGAGTAGCCCTAATCCACAACTTACTCCGAAAATCTTCTCATTTTTAAAAATCAAATTAAGTTCATTTTCACTTAACTTACAGCGCCTCTATTGAGTTGTTAAAGCCATACATTTTGTCTTATCTACGTTAACAATCATCTTATTGTCAAAACACCAGTCTTCCACTTTCTTTAAATCATGTTCTAATTTCGCTCTGACAAGATCAACTGTTTTACCAGAAGCAGTGTAGAGTCGTCTGCGTACATGTCTGTCCTGCAAGCAGTTATTTACGGTAAATCATTGATAAATATGAAAAACATTAAAGGACCAATGATTGAGCCCTGAGGTACCCCATGGGTTATCCTCTTGGCCTCAGATAGATTTCCTGAAATAGAGACTTTTTGATACCTATGATACAGCAGTGACATCACATTGATACATTTTCATTTTTTCTATTCAAACAATCTGGTTAACTAGGTGAAAAGCCTTCCTAAAATCTAGGAAGACAACACCGTTTATATTCCGATGATCAATTTCCTGTGCCCAATTATTAACAATATTCAAAAGGGCAGTTTCACATGAATGAAACCCTTTTTAAAAGGATAATGACGTAAACTATAAAACGAACAAGTATTTCTTTGTTGTATAGAAACAACATCGATCAACATCATCATTAGAGTATTATAGAAATAATAGCATTCTCCTACTGTAACGCCGATAATAAAACTATATAAACATGTTTCTTATTCAGTAAAATATTGTGTTAAAGAATATAAATATGTATTCTGTTACGTTTAAAGTATCTCCGCATCAAAGTACTCGACCATAACATGTCATATTGCCCCACTAAACATGTCATATTGCCCCACTAAATATGTCTTATTGTCCCACAAAACATTTCATATTGTCCCACTAAACTTGTCATATTGTTCCACTAAATATGTCATATTGTCCCACAAAATATTTCATATTGTCCCACTAAACATGTCATATTGTCCCACTAAACATGTCATATTGTTCCACTAAATATATCATATTGTCCCACTAAACATGTCATATTGTTCCACTAAACATATCATATTGTTCAACTAAAAATGTCATATTGTTCCACAAAATATTTCATATTGTCCGACTAAACATGTCATACTGTCCCATAAAACATGTCATCTTGAACCACAAAACATGTCATATTGTTCTACTTAATATGTCATATTGTTCCACTAAATATGTCATATTGTCCCACTAAATATGTCATATTGTTCCACTAAATAAGTCATATTGTTCCAATAAACATGTCATATTGTCTCACTAAAAATGTCATATTGTCCCTTTAAACATGTCATATTGTCCGACTTCACATGTCATATTGTCCTAATAAACATGTCATATTATCCAACCAAACATGTCATATTGTCTCACTAAACATGTCATATTGTCCTACTAAACATATCATATTGTCTTCCTAAACATGTCAAATTGTCCTACAAAACATGTCATATTGTCTCACTGAACATGTCATATTCTCCAATTAAACATGACCTATTGTCTCATCAAACATATCAAATTGTATAACTAAACATGTCATATTGTCTAAGTTAACATGTCACATTGTCCCACTTAACATGTCATATTGTCTCACTTCACATGTCATAGCATACCACATAACATGTCATATTGTCTCACTTTACATGTCATATTGTTCCACTAAACATGTCATATTGTCCTACTAAACATCTCATATTGTCCCACTAAACATGTCATATTGTCTCACTTAATATGTCATATTGTCTCACAAAACATGTCAAATTGTCTTACTTAACATGTCATATTGTCTCACAAAACATGTCATATTGTCTCACTTAACATGTCATATTGTCCCATTAAACATTTCATATTGTCTCAATAAATATATCATATTGTCTCACTTAATATGTCATATTGTCTCACAAAACATGTCATATTGTCTCACTTAACATGTCATATTGTCCTACTTAATATGTCATATTGTTTCAAACGATATATCATCTTGTTCTACTAAACATGTCATACTGTTTCGCTAAACATGTCATATTGTCCCACTCAACATGTCATATTGTTTCACTAAACATGTCATATTGTCCCATTAAACATTTCATATTGTATCAATAAATATGTCATATTGTCTCACTTAATATGTCATATTGTCTCACAAAACATGTCATATTGTCTCACTTAACATGTCATATTGTCCCACTAAACATGTCATATTGTCCTAATTAATATGTCATATTGTCTCACAAAACATGTCATATTGTCTCACTTAACATGTCATATTGTCCTACTTAATATGTCATATTGTTTCAAACGATATTTCATCTTGTTTTACTAAACATGTCATACTGTTTCGCTAAAC